GGTGCGGGGCGTGGTGGAGGCGGGCCGGGGGCGGCTGCTGGAGGGGGGTGGTTGCTGACGAGGCGCAGCTGAACCAGCTCCGCCAGTCCATCAGGTGCGGCTGCCGGGGGTTGCCCGAGCCTTGACCTGCAATGTGCCTGTGTGCCAAGACATCGGGGACAGCAGCCAACGCTGCTGTTTTGAATGGCTGCTGCTGAGCGCATCGGCGTTTGAGCCTAGCGCTTTGGTGTGCCCGCACATAGAGCGTTCACACAATTGCGCAAAAGCGCTCGGGCCTGACGCCTTTTCACAGCTCCAAGCACGATCTGCGCGACCGTCCCGCGCAGGCGCCGCTTCCCTGGCTTCCCCCCGCTGTCGCTGCCCTGCCTCGCCGCCTGGGGCCAAGGCGGCCCCGGCCACGCCCTCGGCGCCGAGGCGCTCGCGAGCTGCGCCTCTGCCGACCAGGCGGCCCTCCTGGTCCGCAAATTCGTGAGGGACACCTGGGACGACCCCGCGGCGCCCTCCGCAGACTGGCAGGAGCCCGGGCATGGCGCCTTCGTTGACGAGTGGGTGTCAGAGGGGCTGGGCGTCTGACCCGCCCCGCCGCGCCTCGTGTCGGCCCGGGGCGGCGCGGGGCGCGCGACGCGCCCGTGCCTGAAGAGAGAGTGCACGGTTGGTGGGGGGTGCGGCCGGCGGTCGGCAACTAAGGGGGGCAGGCAGGGCTACGAAGAGACGTCTGCTTGGGATTCAATCAACGGCGACTCCGCCCCTGAGTGTGCGGGAGTATAGGACCGCGCACTCCGGGGCGGGGTCTATGTTCGCAGTCTATCTGCGGGCAGGAGTGTCTCGTGCCCCAACCTTTTCGAGCGCTGGCAAGCGCTGCGGTGGTGCGTGCGCCCGGTGCCGGAAAAAGTGTGCGCACCAACCGCGTGCGCACCTGGAAAGATCTCGAGAGCGGCGCGACTCGCCGCGGACCTGCGAGGCTGGAGTCTCATTTCTAGACACGGCTTGCACTGGGAGCGACTTGACTTTTACATGCGGCGGGCGGCTGACAACCGCCTGCGCCTGGCGAGGTTCTCGCAACGCATCAAGCTAAAGCTTTCGGCAACCGCCTTTCGCCCTCCACGGCATTTGTTATCTGGCAGCCATCTGCATGCCCCTTTTACCCGGATCCGATTGCTGACATCCCGTCTGGCGCCACGCCCAGCGGCTCTGCGCAAGGGCCCCGCGGCGGGCCCGTGTGGGTTATCACACTGACACTTACTTTGCGACTTTCAAAGGACGGGCTGCGGCCCCGACCCCCGACTCATGCCTTTTGCGGCTGCGGCAATCGCACACCGCCTTGCTCACGCATCCTCCTGCCGCGTCCGCGCGGGCGTCATCAAAGGAGCGCATTTGTTTTACCTGGGTGTCGCAACGGGAGGAACAGGGTCGATGCCTGCTGGATTTCAGCGCGGCGCGCCAGCATTTCACACCAAAACTCACAGGGATGCCTCTGAAGCTTCTTGTTAGCTGCTGATCGCCTTCCCCAATAAACTCACCGACTTTATTGCCCCGGCCCTTCGCGGCAGGGGCTGCCGCGCATCTCTTCGCCACGTGATGCCAGGTGTTTGACCCCTTCACCCATTTTCTTGCGAGCTTGAGGCCTCTGCCATGCATCATTCCCTCCAGTGTGTAACATTTCATTGCCCTGGAACTGCCATGCAGCTAGCTGCTGGGCTCAACACCAGCCTGGGGGGGTTGGAATCAAGACAGGGTGGGCGGACGGTGCAGTCGCGACCTCCAAGCTCAGAAGCATGGGCATGGGCGCTGACGTGGGGGCCACTAGCACTGTCATGACAACAGATGGCAGATTTGATCACCCTAGATGATGGCGTACTGGCACCTGGCTGCAAATGCGCAACGGACTGGCCACGCAAAACAACGGCAGTCCACACTCACTGTACACAGGCTGCGGGCCTCCTCACACTAACATCGTGCAATTCCATATGATGCAGGCCTTCCATCCGCCATATACCACCAAAGCGTCCCACCAGCTGCAAGCTGCACGGCGTCTGCAGCATTCGACAACGGTGTGGCTCAGGGTGAGAACAGCAGGCAGGCGCCTGGCGAGTTTGCCTAACTTGCGGATTGTACTGTGATGGACTCGCTTGAAGTATCATCCGAGTTGCGTCTGAATAGTGCATAGTTCACACAGCCATCGTCCTAAAGTTATCATCGCGATCTGGAAAGAGCCACTGCTGTAAAACAACAACGTCATAGATGATGGATCGAGCCAAATGTATAATTCTCTTGTGCCTCTTGGCATCCAGTGGGCACCAGGCTGCAGCAGCACACGCACCTCGCGATGGGAGCACCAGAAGCGGCGCCCCTACAGACGGCGGAGCCCGCAGCGGCAACCACACCAGCAACTGGGCCGTCCTCGTGTGCACCTCGGCGTACTGGTACAACTACCGCCACATGGCAAACACGCTGTCGCTGTACCGGACAGTGCGGCGGTTGGGAATACCAGAC